CGAGAATAACTACTCCATTTATCTGAATTATGGAAAACTGGGTTTTTACATTTACTTCCTAGATTCGCCATCATTCGTATTAAATCAACTCCTACAATTTTCGGTTTTAAAAACAGTGACGGAAATTGGTTTCAGAAAGATTTCACTATTTCAAATTTTTAAAGGTTAATTAGTCAAAAGTAAAACTTACTACTCAAGAATCCAAGGTCAAAGTCTTAAGGATAAGCCTAGTAAATTGGACAAGGCGTAAAAGCTTACCATCTGATGACCGAAAAGATATATAAAAAGTTGCAGCGCTTAGGCACCGTTTATATGGAGAAAAGGTGTCGCAAGTACAAGAGTCACTTGCCTACCCGACTGGCGAGCTACCCTGCCTGGCGGATGAGCCAACTAACATTTCATACATCTCATTACAAAACGTGGCGAACCAGATTAGAAAAGAGACCCACCAAGCCGGGTCAACTTTATAAACGCTCGTTTAAGTTGACTCAGCTGGAAGAGTGATCCTAGGTTACCTGGGAAATGAGGTTCTCTTGATATAAACCGGACTGCTTTTTCCGAGCACTAAATACGCTTGAACAGGCTATTCATAGAATCAATTTGGTAAAGCGGTCGTTGGCTGTTCCTGGCAATTTCAGGTTTCCTTTTAGTATAATCCCTAAAAAATGTCTCTTACGGTTGCTTTTTAGATACAGTCAAACCCCGCTTTACGATACCCGCTCAATACGAACATCTCATTATTACGAGCTGTTTGCTTTTTCCCTGGGGAAAAACGCCCTTATATTTTCCCTAAACAGAGAGGAGAAGTCGTACGTCACGTCGCCATGGTAGCAAAATTTTTGCATGACAACAAACCGAAAATTCACTTAAAAAGTAAATTCGCATTATTTCAAACTTCATCGATCTTATTCAATTTCGTTTAATTTGTCAAATGTTGGCGAAATTTTCTGGATTTAATCCGAAAGGACCCCATCTGAGTTTAGAAAAAGAAAAAGTAACTTTTTGTGTTGTGTTCACCTACTCCGCAAAGCGGGCGCGTGAAATTAGGAAGTTTCATGTCGATAAGAAATGTCGTTCACGTTACTGTCGCCGTCGCGCGTCGTTGCTTAATCTCGGCCCTATTGCTGCTATCCAGAAATTTGGCTACTATGGTAACTTGATGTCACACTTCTCCTTTCTATTCAACCTCCTTAATAAGGACACCCCTTTCGCGACAGTCTTTCTATGCCCCCTGAGTGTTGAGAGTGTCCGTATTAACGGGGTTTGACTAAACAAATGTTACAGTGCCTGTTTATGTTTACCATTATGATTACTGCTAGCGTTTTCTTCATCTGTTTCTGATCATTACACATGGAGTTGGTACTAATCGTTATTTCTGTTGGAGTAAACAGTGCGGCCATTCAGTGGTTGGATTGGTCTGTAGTTGTCGCACATGAGTGGAGGCTTTCTACCATGTTCACCCTTAAGTTTCCTGAACTTGTTAAGCTGAAAAACCGAAAAATATATCACGTAAGGAAACTTACGACCCATCATCTGGTTTAAGTTAATTGTTTCTAGCACAATTTGAACTAACATTATCGATGTCTATAGCTATGCAACTTAAAAGTAAAGACGCCGGTGTGATAAGAAAATTTAACGTACGATGCATGATAGACTGTTTTAAACCCAGTTTTTGGTAGTGCATTGGCAATAATTTCAATGTATCCTGTAATGGTCTGGATAGTAATTAACGCAATACATGCCTAAAATTGGCTCCGGTCATCGCTATTGTGACACTGACCGGTCTTAACCAGATTCCGTATCTTAAAGTGATTTTACTTGAACCGTGAAACGGATACTAACGAATAATGCAAGAAAGCAAGAGGTAAACAAAAAAAGACAACAGAATTAGTGTAAAATAGTGCGTAGCATTCTTCTACCTTTTACACGGTTCAAGTATAATCACTCTAGTATACTTGTAGAGTGCCATATCCTCTCAGTTGTAAAACTAAGTTATTTATATTAGTGAGCATTACATACCTGGTTGGTAGAGGCAAGGAGATAGTCTTTAACAACTATCCAGTGTACAGTTTCAAAGCAAGGAGGCGTAGTGAGGGAACCTTCGTAACTGTAGTAACATTCTAAAGTCAAACTTTTGGGATCCTTATTATTGCCGTGGCCATTGCCGCCATTGCCATTACCATTACCATTGCCATTACCGTTGCCATTACCATTGCCATTACCATTGCCATTACCACCATTGCCATTACCATTGCCATTACCATTGCCATAACCATTGCCATTACCATTGCCATAACCGTTGCCATTACCTTTGCCATTACCATTGCCATAACCATTGCCATTACCATTGCCATAACCGTTGCCATTACCTTTGCCATTACCATTGCCATTACCGTTGCCATTACCATTGCCATAACCGTTGCCATTACCATTGCCATAACCGTTGCCATTACCATTGCCATTACCGTTTGAACAATTTTGGGGAATCAGATCCATGAGATAAATTCCATCGGTCTTGTCAACAGTATGAGTTTTACCTGTAAAATAGGGTGACATTAAATGGTTTCCTTAAACGTTCAAGCAGCTGAGCCACACATCGTTCTGCAAGTTAAATATTTCAGCTGCCTCGAACCTCGTCAGGCGCGCTTACCGCCGGGATACGTAATCGAGATCGATTGGAGTGATTTTAGTTCCGCGCAAGGGATCATGGGAAAAGCGAAGTAGAAAACTCCGACCCTTCCCAGAGACCTTGCTCGCTCGCAGCCGCGTTTTCTACAAACGAGGCAGAGATCTGACGTGTTCTCAAGTCTTGTTTAAAAATTCTTTTGGCAAATTTGAGCTCCTCAAAGTTTCCCAAATGCAGCTCAATAATTTTCATTTGTTAGTTCACCTTTTGTACTATAATTATTTTTCTTGATATTTTAGTGATTTTTTAACATAGTAAAATAACAAGATATAACTAAAATTGTACCAAACTAAAATTAAATTATATCATGTAAGCAACGAGAGCAACGACATCCTCCCTTACTCAGCAGTGACATCAGAAGATAAACCCTTTATATCCCAGGGCCTAACCAACATCATCTTCAATTTTACAAGTAATATTAATGCACAAACAAAAGGAAAGGTCATAATCACTGAAGGAAAAATTAGATTTACACAGATTTGCTCACGGCAAATATAGCGCAAAAAAGTCCATCTAGGAGGGAATCAAAGGCAAAGATGCTAAAAATACCTCATTTGCATCCCAATTGACATGGGTTGTAAATTTGAGGGTAAATGAGGTATTTAACATCTCTGCCCTTGATTTAACTGTAAATTGCACTTTGTTCATGCACCATATTTGCACTGAGTAAATTTGGTGTAAAATAAATCTTGGGGGCAGTGAATTAATAAAATGATTGCCAAACAGAAACTGCGTTCATCTTTTTTTCAAATCTCTCGACCTATTCTTTAAGGAAATGCATGAAGATCGGTCTGGAGAATTTGTCCGTGGATATTGGAACTTAAAGGATAAAATTATTGCTGATAAACTGTGCAAGTGTAGGAAGAAGAAGGCGGGCGTCGCCGATTGCCAGTAAACACAGAATAAAAGCGAGAAGGGACAGTAAGGATTTGTTCACATGTTCTTCGTTTTTAACCTTTTTTAAGTATTCTGATATACCTACCAACTTGGAGGATGTATTGTGTCAGAGTTGCTAACTTTCCAAAAATTTTGTTTCCTTTGGAGGGCGCCTGTAAATAGTTCAATGGATCGAACTTTATGTGATTTGCAACCTTTTATTTATCGCCCTTCTACTTCTACATTTTACGTAGATGCAGCCAAGGAAGCTGAAATATATACCCCTTATTAGCCGAGTTTTCGGTCCGTACTGTAAATTACGGACCGAGTTTTTTTTCCATCGATTTATGGCCCAAGCACGGAGCTCGCGGGTCATAAATCGATGGAAAAAAACGAGGATCCGTAATTTACAGTACGGACCGAAAAAACGAGGCTAATAAGACGTTTATTATATGGCTTCTTCGTGTTTTGGGGGACCGGAAACAAAGGTGCAGGACGCACAGTCTTTTGACAGGCGTCAAAAAAGAAAGTTTTTATTGGCGCACGAAAACAATAGCACATAACAAAGGCTTTCCGAGGAACTAAAAACAAATTCGCCATGTTGAAAAAGTTTATTCGGTCAAAACTAAGAGCACTGTAAGTTTTAGCCCCCTTAATGTAACGCTGGAATATTTTGGAAACCGGACACTGTCTGTCTAGAAGTCGTTTCCGTCTTTCCTCTGTTTGTCCTTGTAAATAAAACACTGCAAAAGGAAAAGAAGCTTTTCAAGGTAAGTTTGTTGTCATTGTCGAAGGATTCGCTCGTTTATTGTTTTTGGGAAAACCTCTCTTTCTGCCAGTTCCTTCTCGTCTTCAATTTTGATCTGCGTTAAAATTTTCAAACACTGAGTAGCATTCTCTTCCTCGGTGAGGTTACGATTCAGTTTCTACATCAGCTTCGTTCTCATTAAAACAAAGCTAGGTAAAAAGTTGGAAAGGCAAAGTCAACATCCTGGTCCTCAGGGTTTACAGACATATTTTAAAGTTGATTCTGTCAAAACTAAGAGCACTGTAAGTATTCACTCGTCAATGTGACGCTGGAGTCTTTTGAAAACTGGACGTTGTGTCTGGCTCGAACTTGCTTCTATCTTTCGTTGGTCTTTGAAAAAACACTGCAAGTGGTAAAGAAGCTTGTCAAGATGATCGGGTGCAGGTAACAGGGGCACCCAACGACAATGTTCGGAAAATTATCTGTTCGGAAGACGATTTGAGATCTAGAATTTTCGGATCATTTTCTGTAAAGTTTCTTGCTTACCTGCCCCTCCTAGGATTTTCGAACATCAAAAAAGTGGTATAATTGCCCATTTGTAACGGATTTTTACCCTAAAAAGGTCACCTAGAATTTTCGGAAGCCTTTTTTCTGGCTGAAATTTTCGAAAAGTTAAATTTTGATCCCTATAATTTTCGGATCACTATACTTTCAGCTAGGAAATCCGAACAGATGAAAAATTTTTAGGGGATAGAAATAAGCCTTTATCTACCGTTTAAATACTAAAGTACGTTCAACAATGCTATGTTTATGTGGTTTTCAACTATATTCTCGTTGGGTGCCCCTGAGGTAAGTTTGTTATCATATTTGCAGAACGAATTACTCATTTTCCCTTAGGTAAAACATCTCGAATCTCTACCAGTTGATTTTCGTCTTCTTAACTGAATACTGCGATAACATTTTCAACACTGAATAGAATCCTCTTCGGTAAGATTAAGAGTTAGTTCCATCATCGCCTTCGTTCACAAATAAACACAGTGTAAAATGTTGAAGGCCAAAGTCAACATCCAAGTCCTCAAGGTTGACAGGCGTCGTATCACTTTATTTAAACCTTTTTTCCGAGGTAAATAGATTTAGATTTCCGAAATGAGTATTTTCTTTAGAAATTTTGGTCCGTATAGCAAGTTACGGATCGCAAATTGACCAATCGCATGGCAAAAACAGACTCAGCCATATAATAATATTCGTTATTGCCAATTTATTTAATTAATTTTTTTGAACAATTAAATATCCATTCTTCCGTAGATCAATTTTTAGCGGCAGGGATATTCGGTGAAAAAACCTGGAGCTAGAAAGTCTCTTTACCCACTCCATTTTTTTTTTAAATTTATAAGGACACAATAGAGGTATTCTTGTATAAATTGACTAACAGCAATTTTAATTTTTAACCATGAAGTATTATGATTTTTTTTATCTTCGGAGGGTCATATAAATCGCATTTTGTTGTAAAAAAATTGACTCCTGGAAACAATTTTTATTTTGACGCTAACTTATTCAACTAAAGAAACGCAAAACTTCGTCGCGATTTGTTCACATATTTGTTATTGCTAGGGAATAAGGAAAAGTAACCAGAGAAGTAGACAGAGTGTACCTTAATCCAAAGGGCGACGACTGCTAGCTCTTCTCCAGGGCCGTCAAATACCATATGAAGCTGAGGAAAAGAGCAAAAGCTCACAGTTATTAACAATGAGTTTATTCCGGTAACGGGACGCGTATAGAGACTACGAGGGATTCCATTCAAATTAAAACCTCTGGAAGGTCATGCTTCACTCATACTTTCGCATCCCAGCGTGTCACCCTTTGCGAAAATAATGTGTTGCAAACAAAAACTAACGTAGCTCATCTGGCCAATCACATTGCAGACGTAGACATGCTAACTGGTCAATCAGAAGTGGAAGCAAAAGCACGTGTTCGGCGCCAGGCAAAATAAAACCTTTCTTTTTAAGTCACAAGACAATTGGTTCTTGCACGTAGATAAGTATGTGCCGCACACAGGGACTGGCGGGGAAGGGGGGGAGGGCACTTCCTAGTAATAGGCTAATGGGGATGTGCCCCTGGATGGGGTCGCATTTTTACCACTAGATTGACTATCATGAAGGGATTGCATTTTCAACAGAGTTACTCGCACATTTTCGAGATTTGGGGGAGAAGGGGGGGGTAAGAATAACTCAGTAATTGCGGATTTCAAAAACGTGACGATCTTTATTACATTAAGTGGACCAAATGTGCCAATTCATTTCAGGAGGACCTTGATAGAAGGCTTTATAAGGTAAATGCATAAACAGAAAAAACTTTGGAGTATGATGAAGGCGATTTAATATAGGTTCTTGTGTTATTTTCAAATTCTTTGTTCTTGTTTTTCCCTTGAATTCATTACCAATTTTTGGGTTTGAGCTTTCAATAGGGTATAAATGTTCGTTTGTCGTATCCTTAAGCAGTGTCAGGGTTTCCAAAGTTTATGGGAGTGGGAGCCTGAGAGAATTATGATAAAAATAGTTTTTTTTTACTTTTAATCACCATTTTTTAACAATTTTCTTGTGGGCAACATTTGTTTCAAGTAGATCGAACGTCCCATTAAGAGACGGAATCGTAAGGAAATGCCTGCCTTCGAAATATCCATTGTCATCCTGGGTATTACCAACGAGGCAACTGAGCTAAGAAGGGGGCTTGCCTCGAAGGCAGAATTATAACGCCGCGCAATGTAGGCAAAAGCTGCATTTTTGACCATATTTGGGAGTAAGTAAGACCCCATATTTGGGTAGTGATGTCATGGCCTTGTATTTGCAACTCGTGGTCCGAAATTTGCCTAGTCCCTGTACGGCGGTTTTTCAGGCTCTCTCGGTCAATGCATTTCGGTGTCGTATCCGAGACGAACGGCCGGGAGACGCCTAGACAATCTCGGAGTGCGTATGCGTGAGCATTTTTGCATTTTTGAAAAGTTCACACGGTCAACTGAAATTATCTATAAATAACTTTGCGCGTGAATATCCTTCGCAAAAGATCGGCACTATTGACACTATTACAAAAATAACTAACCTAGTTCGTGTTATAGAAGAACAAGAATATTACTGTGAATCGGAAAGAATACTACTGTATAACGTGCAAGTAATTTCTCTTTTAGTTCATCTTCAAATGAACCATTAAAATGATAGTCCTTATTGATAAAAAGATTTGAAACAGTAGTTTGTTGACATTCTACCAAATTTAGGGACCAAATTCAACAGCCTGTCCGATTAGTTTGATAAGCTTCCAAATCCAAAAATTAAATTACATAAAGTATTTCGAAGTGAAATGATAACGAGAAATTTATAGGAGCAAGCGAAAATAGAGAAACGAAAGATAGCTTGTCATATCCAAGAATAAATATAAACTTATTTCTTTAGTTTACCTTCCGATTCTTGATCAAATAATTTTTTTTGCGACGCTGTTTTGCTTAGCCTACAAATAGTTTTTCAGATGAAATAAAGTTCAAATTAGTTTAATGAGATAAATGAAAAAGAAAGGCCAAACGACTTTCAACAATGAAAACGTGCATAGAATAAAAATGCTCGGTCCTTTGTACTCTCCCTGGCTGCTGGACATCTTTCATCAGCGCGGAAAAGTTATTGACAGCTCGCCCGCTTCCAAAAACTCCGCCCCAAGTGAGACAAAATGTCTCACTTCTCCGAGTTTGTCTAGGCCTCAAAAACTTTCTCGGACCACGTGACCCGAAACGTATCGGCCTCGCATAATAATGAGGCCTAGGGACTAGGCAAGTCCACGATTAGGTGATTCAGTGTGCAGCTGTTCGTTGTCTGTTCAGAGGACTCAACAGGTGAGCAAGGTTTAATACGATTTCTAGTTTGGAAAGGCAATTTAAGTGCTCTAGTTTGCTTTATAAATTGCGTTTAAAGCAGCAGCTAATCAAGGAATAGGATTACGCTCAATTTTTTGTCAGACCCAGCTTGTTCTTTGCAGCTCGATTTACACTGAGGTAGCGTGTTCGCTTCTCGACTCAGAACCAGGGTTTTCAGTGTTCTCTTTTCCTTTGTGAGTTTAATTTTAAGCGGTAGTTGATCAAGGCATAGGGTTATATTCTCAAAACTTTTATCAGAAACAGCGTGTTCTTCGCAGGTCGATTTACATTGAGCCAGTCCTCACCTCCCGTGAGGAATGCAACGTATTTGTCGGCCTTTTTTTTTTAGAATTTATTTATGTCTTTCGACAGATTTTGTCAACCAGTATGTTTTTTTGCTGCTCGATTTACATTGAGACAGCCCAAAACTCCCGTGGGAATGCAACGGATTTGTTTTGAAGACTATCAATATGCATTTCAAGAGACTCTTTGTCCTGTGACACTCGCTCAGTAAATCTTTGTATATTATTCAAGTTTTTATTTTCATACCTCTGATACATTCCGCCCCATTCTTGCGCTTTTGACACATTTTACTTTACACCATTTTTTTTATGTATATATTACCAAGCAAAATATTTTTCTTATCCCTGATGACGCTGTTGCTCGGAATTTCCTTATTATTTTTAATTTCAGCAGTCAAAGGTCTCATTTAAGATCTTTCTAACGTTCTTTCTAACGTTTATAGTTTTCATACAATGGAATTTTCCATGAAACATAAGTACAAACTTGCTCATATTTACCAACAAAGCTTCAAGCCATGTTGTTATTGTTTAATAAAAGTGAAAGCCTAGAATGTGCCAAAGTTGTTGTTTTGAAGCTGGGTGCCATCCGTTTCTATAGCGGAATCCATTTTAAACTTCCAAAATTATGAAAAAAAAGATATCGTGAAGATCAGAGTAAGCAAATTCCACAAAAAAAAAAACAGATTCGTCTCGCTGGCACTTGCCGGAAGGTACCTTTAGTTATTATCAGTATAATTGCAGTTGAAAAGTAGAGCTAATGACTTCGGTCAGCTCCTAGTGTCGGAAAGGTAGGCTATCGTGTCCTGGGCGATCGTTTGGACCAGCGGATGTGTGCCCTGACAGACCGTCCAGGGCCTAGCTACAAGAAAACTGAAATTTTACAGCCACAGATAGGCACCGTGACACAAAAAGTTTCAAGTGGTTTTTGTTACTTACCTCACCAGAAAATCGTTTTTCATCGAGGGTGTGTTCAGATCCGCGATCATTAGCACAGCCAAAGTGAACGTGAAACTGGAGTAATTCAAAAGTTTTGTCCCCCAGTGGACCCCCAGTTAGTGAAGCTCCATTGGAATCAGCAATTTCAAGTTCTGGTGAATGTCCAGTATTCTTAAACGTTCCAGTTACAAGGCCCCTTGCGTTGTCGAAAGTGATTTTTAGTGGACTGAAGCTCTTCTTGATGGTCTCGCTTTTAACGATGTTTATTGGGGATTGCTTTCGATGACCACAGTCCTCATATCTATCTTTCCAGTCTGCTGGGCCTAGCACTGTAATTAATTTCAAAAAAGGACTCATTTAAAACAAACGTTTTTTTCAGTTTAGTCCATTCAGTTTTGATCCTAAAAATCTCGCTGTGAAACATACCGTTTAAACAAATCGTGCCTATATGATAAAATTTCCGCCTTTTATTATGACGATCAGAAATGTCTCCCGAGCGTTAAAACTGAATGACTCACAAACAAAAATAACCAGCTTTAAAAATGTTGGACGGAACAGTTTTCAAATTCCCAATTGTAATCCTTTTAAATAGTCTTCAATTTTATCCGCCCAACCGTCCTTTTTTCCGTTTTTTAAGTGGTAGTAAATGTGCCTTCGCCACTCATCTATTTAAGTGTTGGTTGTTTGCCCGGTGATGGCCGGGTGGGGGTGCAATTACTAACGACAAGATTGGATAAATTCATGGTTCCTGTTCCTTTTTTTACAACAAGGTTTTCGATAGATTGCTAGTAAACTACTCTGGGTAATCATTATAGGAGCTGGCAACTCAAGTAAGAAAGAAGACTTCGATGAAAACATAGAAGTCAGCATTTTTTTTTTTTTTTTTTTTTTTCGCCAATTGAGAATTGATGGCGGGAGACTTTTTTTTTCAACCAATGGCAAATAAAAACAACGAATTCCCATAACAATCATTGATTTCATATAATTTATTTCTAGACCTTGGAGTGCGTTCAGAAGAAATTGTGCTGAGCCAAAATCTAAAGGACCAAAAACAAATTACATTCTGCGTAGCAAAAAAAACACCAAGACGAGCACTTGATATCTTGCTATCTCGTTTTTAATTATTAATAGTTCATGTATAATGTTACAAATTGCCCCTAATATTAGAAGGACTTCGGGTTTCTCCGGTACTGATCGAAGGAAGTGATTAATTATCATTGTTGCTTTATACAAACCATCATTGTTCGTATCTGCATAGCCCCATTCTTCGTGTGTAGCTGAAAAAAAGGTACAAATTATAAAATAACAAAAATGATTTCTTTATCGACCTAATAACGATTAATCCGATAGTAATAAATTACAAAGAAACTCGTCAAAAAATATTTAAATACATTAACAATACCTTAGAAGTAAAAAGAGGTAAAAATTCGTTACTTAACTTCGGTTTCAAGTGCTCTGAAAACGTCATCAGCTAACTAACAAACTTAAGGCCGACCGTGGCTAAGGTAGGCAGGTAGAGATGATTGATGGTAAATCGGAAGAAAAACATGCTAACCTCATAAACATATATGGCTGATAGGTTTCCATGGAGGGCGTGTTGACAAATAAAGGCCGTAAATGTTAGGACAAATGTAAATTAATTATAATTAGCTACGTCTACAATCACTTCAACTTCTGCCACTACTACAGACAGACAGAACGACAGACAGACAACAGGCAAACAGACAGACAGACCGACAAACAGACAACAGGCAAACAGACAGATAGACCTCAGACAGACCGATATGCAGGATATACGCAGCTTGGCACGACCCAACCACATTCTAATGAGCTTCTTTAAGATGAAGGGAGTGACTCGGAAAGATTTGCCTCAGTGGAAAGTTGGTTCCAAAGCATAGCACCGCTAACTTAAAACTTCTTTTAGGAACTCTCTTAATCGACGCTTAATACTACTAGAATCAATATAATCAATTGCAGCAAATGTTAGGAACAAATATTGTTGTTGTAAGTTGTTATTGTTATTGTTATTTAACAATTAATGAATGAGGCTGAGTAACTTATGAAGAATTATGGAGATCAAGGAGGGTATTATCCGTCGAGGCGGTATGCCGAGGCGGATAACACCCTCCGAATTCAATAACTGTTTTATAATTATTCATTCGAAATAATTCCCTGTTTAAAAACATAGCTAAAACATGCTTACCTCCATCGATGTTAAGTTCATCTTTCATAGACTCATAGTGCACGTTTAGGGTTGTTCAGCTCCGCAAATATTCTCCAAATAGCAGATGTCGCCTTTTTCGAGCTGTCTTCTCGCTGTTCTAGCCATGGTTTTAGCTATTGTTTAGCCTAGTTCTTACACTTGAAACGAGTGAAATGTTCCCCATTTTTGTTTTCACAACCAAAACAACTCAACCTCGTCCCCAGGTCTTCTCGGTTAACGGTGCATTAAACTACAAGAAAGCTGCATTTTTGACATCATCGGTTGATTAATCGCAAAATTCTTCCAAATTTGGTCATCAGCAGCTGGTTATGGTGAATTATGCGTGTGTTTTTAGCCAATCAGAATTGGGGAAATGTTTTGAATGAATAATAATGTAAGTTATTCATTAGATACTCACTCGCGCTCAAGACGACACCAAAGGTAGTGAACAACAGGAAAAACTTCATCTGTCGTAACTGATGCATTCAATTATCAAGTTTTCTGAAATTCGATCACAAAAAAAAAGGAAACATAACTAACTAAGGTAACAATACAATGTTGGCACAAAAGAGGTTCTCATAAAGATGTCAAAGTCGATAGAAAATATAATACAGTGGAACATCGTTAATAAAAACACTGCTTGACCAAGAAATCCTGGTAAAATAACAAAAATGACTGAAGGATTTTTTTACTTTGGAGTCAAACTGTAAAAGATAAGCGTAATAACGTTGTGGACAGGCGGGTGTACAATTATTAACTTAAGGTCTTTTTAAATTGATCCAGAAAGCTGACCAACGAATGCGTTTGAGCACTGTGTTGGCTGCGATGTTTTGTCAGGTCTATGGAGTTGAAACTTTTGGAAACATTCATACAGTTTCAACGTCAGCCCAAAATCATCGTCTAACATTGTCTAACATAGACAGTCTAACATAACGGTTTGATAGGGGCTTTGAAAATCGTAACAAATTGTTTCTTTTGGTCCGCATTTAATGCCCTCTGGGCGCTGAATCTACTTCAGAATCTAGGTTAAATGGCTTGACCATGTTCATGATAAAGTTGTACCACAAAACTCTTGAACAAGACAATTTGTCGTTGTTATTACAAATGTAAAAACGAAAAGATGCAAGTCTCAATAACGCAAAGCCAGTCTGGTTACTTTTTTGTACCTCGATCAGTATACTACCGGCTTTGATTTTATGAATCTAGATCGCTTTTGTCTCAAATAAACTGTGAAAATGTTAGTTGATTGTTTTAAGTAACAGTTGAATATCCAATGTATTTAGCGGCAAAAGGTGTTTGATAGCAACCGACGATTGTTCTTTGCCAAGATAATAAAAAGCCATCAACTTCCTGAAAATTCTACACAAGTTGTCTTTTGTCTTGAATGCAATAGTTTTTGCAGCTGATCTGAAGACAAGTAATCCTGAACTTATAGATCTATGTGCAAGAAAGGTATAATCAACATGGGCGTTGTTTGATTTTTAATCTTCGTTTCCATCGCAGTATTCATGGCGACTGACGTGATGTTAACGAATGAGAGAAATTGCCCCTTGACTCCTACTAGTAGTGATGCTCGAAGTGGAAATCTGAAAACCTTCTAATTTTACTTCGATTTTTCCTAATCCTAAAAGATAAATAGTGACTACGCAAATGTTTCACAAAAGGTGTGGTTTTAGTTGAATGGTAATGTTAAACGATCATTATAAAGCGCTGGCTCGATGCAAAAAATGAAATGGCATGAGACTTTATCCCGACTAATTAAGTGCAAAGAAGTGACAATGTGCTAGTTTACTAAAAAAGAAAGCAAGTACATACCTAAAGCTGCTATGTCAATGTAACCTTCTCGGCAGTAGTGTTGAACCCAGTGGCTTCAGCCTCCTTCCTGCATCTACTAAGACTGATCAGGCTGTGGGACAAGCATTGAAATAAATAGGCCTTCTCTGATTGACAAATGATACTTGAGGACAGAATCCTGACGATAAATATAAACTTTTAACCTTGGCTTAAAATATCTTAATTAGGATGGAACGAGGAAATCACCGATATGTTGTCCACAAGGAAGCCGAGGGTGTTGGCGATGAGAGGTAATGATGGAAAATTATTATATATATAAAAACATTTAGCTTCCTTTATGTCGTGACAAACTTGAAATCCTTCATAAAAAGGCTCTCCAGACCACCAAGTAAAGATACCCCTCCAAAGACCCGTCTTTCTTGCATGTGCAAAAAAACCAAAATGAGCTTGGCTGTTTTGTGTACCACAAAACTGGTCCCCCGTTGGTCATTATATAACAACAACAAGAAAAAGCTGGAATATAACCAGTCGGGCAATATGAGCCAAGTTGCATGACGTTCGCAAACTTTTCTTATGAATTTTTCAACCCGGACGAATCGTCTTGAATGTGGCTGATGCAACCAAAAGTGGATAATAAGAGGAATAATATTTGTTGCTAATGTTTGAGCAAAACAAAAAATATCACTAAGGAACTTAGTACAAGTCTGCTTGCAAAACAAAAAGCCAGACTTAAGTCAATAAAATACATGTGTATAAGCCCAGCTATTTCTTATATTCGTTTTTTAGCACCAAAATGAATCAAATTGCTTTACAAATGGCATTACAAGATTCAAGCAAGTTTGGGAGAGTAGGGGCAGGAGGTGTGATTTTTGCGAATTTTATTCTCTGGTTTAGTTCTTTTCTTTTTTATTGGGATTGAAATCAGTATCAATCATTTAGTTTAACTCGTTACGTAAAGGAACTAAAAAAAACTCGTTCAAACTACGAACGTGTTTAAATAAAGTCTATAATAATTACAGTTATAATATAATATGGCTGATCGGCCTAAGGCAAATAAATTATCACTCAACGTCGCCAAATCAAATCCTATTCTTTTTCGACCCTTGCAAAAACCTATTACTGTTAGTGATACAATTACGCCGGATAATATTGCTGTGCAACCGGTTGAAGTGACACATGGTGTTTCTTGGTGTTTTATTAGATCAGCATCTTTCTTGGAAATATCATATAAATCATATTGCTAAAAAAGTATCAGACTATAAGTAAGGCTCGTTTTTTCCTCTCTTCTAAATCTTTGTTATCCTTATAATATACATTGGTTTTCCCTTTTCTTATCTACTGTAAGATTGAATGGTGCCCAAGAACGTATCGATCCAATTTAAATAGGCTTCTCTACATATACAGGAACGCATCGTCAGAATCATTTGTGGAGCAGAATATCTTGCCCGTACTGCACCTCTATTTCGGACTCTTAATATACTTGATATTTGTAACATCAAAGCGTTCTTTGTTGCTTGTTTTATGTACTCGTATCACAATAACCTCTTTTGTAATACTTTTAATACCATCTTTGTTACTCATCGCCAAGTACACACATATAATCCTCGAAATACTAATAACTACCGACCATATTTCTGAAGAACCAACATTAAACAGTTGACAATCCTTCACCTGGGACCTAAACTATGGAACTCTCTTCCCCATTATCTTCCGCAGCTGACAAGGTACCGGCTCTAGATTCAAGACATCATTAAAAAAATATATCTTATCGAGAGAGCTATGAATTAAACTCGCCTGACCATGATATGGTAGCTTACACTAAATCAGAATTAAATATGAGGAGCCCTTATTTCTACAAGCTATATACTTCAACTTCTGGGCTTCCTCGCCACTTTATCTGTTACAAAAGTTAGTTACATAATTTTACATTTAATGTTGAACTATTATTGAAGCTCTTCCTTCTCTGTAAATATGTAATCTTTGTAAAAATTTCTGTAACATTATTTTATTCTATGTGGCAAATGTATAAATAAATAAACAATATTCTACTTTTAAACAACTCAACAAATATGTAAACTGACTTAATTAGCAATAAAAACATAAAATATCAAAAGCTAAAACCTTCTAAAAAACTATATACTAAAAACATAAAAAGAAAACTATAAGACACGTTCTAAAAAACTAAACTCTTGCAATTTTACTTTTGCAGTCATTTTCATACCTTGAAAGACGTACTCGAGAGGGAAAACTGTTTCATTACTTAGTTAATAAATAAGTGAAAGAATTCTTTTTAAATTTTTAAGTTCCATATTCGAGCCCTCGCCTCTTAGCCCATACGGTGTATGCCTATATTTAAAAAGGTTTCCAATATAAGTAAGTCCCATACCAATTAAACATTTAAAAAGAAGTACTAACGCCTGATGTAAGCGCCTACAATATAAGGTTTCGCTGCTGGCCGTAGTGAGCAGCTCATCGTATGACACTGATCATGACTTGTTGTGCCCGATTAATGTTCTCAAAATAGAACTGTTGCCATCTTCGAGACGATTGTGTTGACCTTTAGCTATGCCTACAAATAAAGGACTGTAGTATTCTAGCTAGGTGAGGTAATGTATTAAATGCTTTAATATAAAGTTTTATCATTGCATCATAGGGAAGAAAACGCCTTTTTCTTCTCAGCGCGGGGGCTTTCGCGTAGGCTTTCTTTAGTTGATCTGATATGTGTTCTTTATAGGATAGGCCCTTGTCTAGAGTAACTCCAAGAATCTTAAAGATCTGAGAAATTATATTCTAGCATCATTAAGAATTATAGAATAATCATAGTCATAGGGTCCCGACGGATAATGCTTGAGTCTTATTACTGTTCACTGTTGAATGGTTAGACTCAAACCACGACAAAAGAGTTTGTAGATCTTTGTTGAAGAGAAATTCTAGGATAGTGGGAGATACATCTAAGACATTAGGTACACAGAAATTGAAGTCATTAATGAAAATGGTGAACAAAAGCGGCCACTAATGGTGAACCTTAGGGAACGCCAGTTTTGACTCTTTTGAAGTTAGAGCATACGCCTTCTAATCTGACACATTGTTGACGACCCAGCAGCGGCAGGTAAGTGCACATCAGTTCCAAGGCATGTGGAGAAAAGCCATAGGCTTTCAATTTCGCAAGCAAAGGGCGGTGGTCTATGGCGTCAAACGCTTTGCTCAAGTCTACAGCGACCGCCGCTACAGCTTCCCTGTTATTAATACTGTTCCTCCAGTCTTGTGTAGTTCTATATTTTTACGGAAATTTCTTCATATACTCTGAGTGGTGTGATACATAAAGCGAACATAGATACGACACGTTGCCGCTTACAAAATAAGGTTGTAACAATACACCGAACTACCGATTAATCGCGATACTAACACCGCGAGAGCGATGGACCGATGGCAAGTCAATAATGTTAATAATGTTAAACATCGATAACAATAGATTGGTGTGGCGAACTATCGATAAAAAAGTTTCGATAGTTTCTGTACTTCTAACATTTTGAAATCTAAGGAAAATAAAGGTTGACAAAAACGGTAAAAAAGAAACTTAAGAAAATCTACCGCCCTACTGCAGCTATATAGTATAATAACTAGTAATAAAAATTACAACTAAATAACCACTAACTCATAACTCATATGTAAATATTTGCAGCATATACTAGAAAATTACAGATGGCCGCCGTAAAAAGTTTCAATAAATCTGTGTGCAAGAGTTCTACCGCTTAGACATAGATTGGATAAAGGCCCTGGAAAAACGCTTGGTGCGCATCTTAGGTTGAGCAAGTTCACGCTGGTTTCTAAGATTATAGCTGCTAACATTCTTTGGTGGTAGTAGAGGGTGCAGCTTATGCACAGAATCAGATGCAACTAATTCAAATAGTTTGTTACACTGTTTAATGTGGCTGTCCTTAAGAGAACTCATGATGTACAATGGGAGGTGTCAACATATGGAAGGCTGGGAGATATTATTAAGAACGTGCGCTTCTGAATGAGCTCCAAGTCGTCGCTTAGACACGCAAGCGATGCATGGTGGTATAAGGGTGTGCAGCAACTAATACCGGCCTAATGCAGGTATGATCGAAACTGATAATATCAAGGGGCGGGACCTTGGCGCGCTTAAGCAAAACAGGGAAAAACACTCGCTTATTGGCCTTCTTGATTACATCAGAAATGTGACAATTCCATTGAAGGGTGCTCTAGATATAATCATCCCTAATACTTTGAATAAGGTGTATTTGTTTAAGGATCATCATTCATTCGAGACGCTGTGACAAACACTCGACACAGTGTTTAACGGCGATATCGAAAACTTTGGGGTATGTTTATTTCAATGAACTCGATCGGATACGCATCGTCTTGTAACGAAAAAAAAAGTTAAGAGAGAACTAACACATGTTAACACACCCAAGCTTGTGTTTGTTATATTGTACTTCAAAATGACTAGTTTAACACATGAACGACCCCACACGGATTTTAGCCTTACGTCTAGTGGTCTTAAAATAAAGATTACTTACACAATACATAGACGGAGGCGTCAAGAGGACACGTGATGGTATGAATTAGATACAACTCAGTTCATAGCAGGATATAGAATGGCCACTTCAGTATATGTCTATATGGAATACTTCAAGCTCTTCAAAATGCCAACAATTTTGAGCAATTATTGCCCCAACATTACACAAGAAGAGATATAACGATTTTGAAAGTGAGACAGTGGGTAATAAACTCCATAATTAAAGTTAAAAATGTCACCAAAAGGTTCACCTTTGTTCCTTATCCTTGTATTTTTTTAACAATCTGCAGAAAATGACTTTTTTTAAACAAAACTACGTGATACAGAAGCATAGAACTTTGGGAAAATATTGAACCTACGTGATACAGAAATATAGAACCTTGGGAAAAGATTGAACTGCTGGTGTCTAATTATAGGCTTGTGAAAACATGTCTGTGAACAATCTCGCTGCGCCAATGGGCGCATAAGGCCGTCTGTTGGACAATGGTAGACCATTAACATTAGTTCTGCAATTCTAACATCCCTTCTAAGCTCAATATGACACTAAAGCTTAGCGTCGCGATTTACTTACTGATCATGACTCGTACTCTTTTTACGTACGGATCAAAAATAAGATGTAGGCAGCCCTCGTGGTATCTGCTTAAGTTTCAGCCATCATTTGTGACCATCCGGATGTTTAGCGAACATCATCCAGTCGCTTTTTTGTCTGTTATTCATGATCACATTGCATTTATAAACTAAAGGAGCTTCATCAGTGTTCAAATGCGTTAATTGTCTATATTATTACAGTATTCAAATTTTGGAGAAGGTTATTGTATATATTCAAGGAAGGGTGGGCCATAGCCTGAGATCCGTCGACGACTGGGGGTTGCTTTTATGAAAAAACACTCATCTCAGGAACAGTGTGTGGTATTATTTTTGCAATTGGCGTAATAACTAGCCCATGCCACCTACATTCATTTTTTGGAAAAAGTGTCATCAGCGCCTTCATGATATGTCTTTAAATAATACGCTTGATTTCCGTGATCACTCAAGGAGCCTCCCAAGCAGACTTTTTCAGGGCTAAGAACTCTTCTTCTTAAGACTTTATATCCATGCAGACGATCTGAAAGTCAGTTTAAAAGGGAGTTTACTGGCTTTATGTTGTAAAAAAAAATTTGAATGCAAATATCAGAGCTAAAAGGGTTGAACGACCCGTTTACGATCGAGAACTCCGAGAACTTTCAGCGTGTTTATCAAGTGTTTAAAAGCCGTTTTACGAGTGCTAATTTTGCGGCTTTGAAATGACTCCAGAAGCAAGGAGCGATGCAGACACAATTAGTTTGCGTGTCATATACCTCAGAATAGTTTTCTCTTTTTCCCTTCAAACAAGCAGCAAATATTTCATTGTAGCCGAGTTGTTTCGCCTACGTCCTGTTCGCTAACATGCTAAGTCGGTTTGCGCACGTGTTAGGTCGTTTCGCGACTACTTTGCATTCGAGTGCGAGTGCGATTGCTTCGTTTTCCCAATGTAAGTGACATGATAACAGCCTAGAGAACTGTTCCATTCAAGCTTTGTCTTATTCCCGTGCATATGTACGCATGATTTATGAAATGACAAAGGGGCAGATTCCCGGAGACCTTCATTGGGGAAACAAAACATACAAGCTAAAGAGGTCTACTATAAAATAAGTCGAGGTTAAGCTCGAACCCACAACGGCGTTAAGGGGTGGGGGTTAACAACCCTCCTCTGATTGATTTCTGATTTTTTTTCCTAGACGATAAAACACCAGCACCTGAAGTTTTCAGTAGCTGTTCCTCTATCCCTCCAGCGCATTTTGGGACAAGTTTAGTGATGGTCAGTTACTGTGGTTACGAGATTTGACGTCATAAGTAGCAGGTGGTCCAGCCATTTTTGAGTGAAAGTGCATGTTTTTGAAATACTTTCAGCAATAAAAGTAAAGCTGGGGATAAAGTGATGCAAAGTACTGAATATTTATGTGTTATTTTTCATGTTAAGCACAAAAAATATCGCGGTTATTACCTGATTTCTAATTCAATGAAATCAAATAAAGAATGATCCTCGCAGTTTTGAACGCAATTTATGCAGTTGCGTAAGAAGCCTAAAAATTATTCGGACTTCAGTGGATTTAACCGTGACCTCGCGATACCGGCGCGATGCTCTAACCAATTGAGCTATGAAGCCACTGATGATGGGAGCTGGTTTGACTTCTAATTCTTGATAAAATCGAAGATGGCGACAATATTTAGTGTCGTCACAGGACTCCAGTAACGCCACTACCCATTAAATATACCTCATCTTGCTGAGAAGAACAAAGGCTTTCCATTGAAGGCAAAATCGTTTCGAAATACTTCAACATATCAAAAACTCAGGGGAGAGGTTCCATCAACCTCCACCCTTCTATAATGGTGGGAGTATGACTTTGCGTGTACGTCCGAGGGTGAAGCCTTGGGAGGGATGGGTATAAGTTACGAAACTCACTAAGACGGCAGTGCAACAAAATAAGCACGTGTCCTCTTTGCAGGGTTGTTTTTAAACCACCTTCAAAGCCCGAACTGTAGTACAAACCCCTGGTCGAGAACGGAGTTATGTGGAGTCCGGGCTAAAGACTGCTGCCAAGGTATTGCTAGTTTTCAGTATCACGCCACTCAAAATAGATCGAAATAAAAATCAAAACTGTTCAATAGATAAAGTCCAAAATTTGGGAAATGAAAGGAGGTAGACATACAAAGACCCTCGCTAAGATTTAGGTCAGAGGAATATTTCGTATACGAGATATCTGGAGTTATACTACTACATGAGAAATTTCTGCAATTTGATTGGCTTAGAGCAGTGGTATTTCAGTTTAATTTGAAATACCTACATGTGAAAATTACAAAACCTTTGCGGGTAGTACTATAAACAACTAATACCATGATTTGTACGTGATATTTGGCATAAATACCACTCGTGATATTTCAAAATTGTCTTAAATTTCACTCGCCTAACGGCTCGTGAAATTACGTACAAAAATTTCCAAACATCACTCGTGGTATTTATGCCAAATATCACTACAAATCATGCTATTACCTATACAAATGTTTTACCTAAACTTATAAAGATTTGTATAGAGACACCAGGCGGACGGAAACCAACAGAAACATCTGTTACCGAGTTTTGCTACAAAGGCGTGAATTTATTCTTCGAGAAACTCATAAACATTAAAGTATACTTTTTCTAATACACGAACTGTTTAGACAGCAAAATTTCCTGAAATAAGTCATTTTTTTAACGTACATGACAGCTCTCTTGGCCATCATGTAAATGCCGCGTCACGCAAAAGCTTAGAAATTCAAGGGTACTCTATCACAAAACCAAGAACCCTTTTGAAGCGAAAATTTGTATGAAAATTAGTTTTCAGCTGCTCTAACACATCGCAAAAGTAAAATCTCGGTAGGATCGATAGTTTCTTAGTTTGAATTTTAGTGACGTCATGTGAAAACAAACAATTTAGTTGGCATAAATTACGGTGTCTAAAAAACCGACTTCGTTATCTTTCCTACCATCAGTTTATTGACTGAACTAACTAGATACATCAGTGACAAATAAAATTAGAATCAATCGCGTTTAAAAGCGAGATCGTCGCTTGTGTACCGCTAAGCAATTGACGAACATTCAACGACCGTTTTTCCAAGAGTTACCTACTCCATTTAACTGAGATTATGGAAAACTAGGTTTTCGCTTTTACTTCCTACTAGATTCGGCCATTATTCGTATGAAATGACCTCCTACAATTGTCGGTTTTAAAAACAGTGAAGGAAATTGGTATCAGGAAGATTTAGTCGTAACGAAAAACTCTTCAGGAATCCGAGATTAAAACGTTAAAGGTAAGCATAGTAAATTGACATGGCATAAAAGCTTACCGTCTGATGACCGAAAAGATGGATAAAAAGTTATAGCGCTTAGGCACCTTTTATGCGGAGAAAAGTTGTCCCAGGTAGAAAGGTCACTTGCCTACCCGAGCTACCTTGGCGGACGAGCTAACTAACTTTTCACCATCTCATTACAAAACGTGGCGAACCAGTTTAGAAGAGAGACCCCGACTAGACAGGTCACCCTCTGAGCCGGGCCAACTTTTCTCCATGTAAAAAACTTTGGCTCGCCCAGCCGGGTCAACTTGGGCTTAACGAGACCATCAGAGCACTTGGGAGCATTGTTAGTTCGCACAAAGGGATCATCTTCCTATTCAGGTCCCATATAAACGCTCGTTAAAGTTGACTTAGCTGGGAGAGTCACCCTAGGTTACCCGGGAAATGATGTTCTCTCCATATAAACCGGCCTCCATTTTCCCAGCATTAAAAACGCTTGAACAGGCTACTCATAGAATCAATTTGGTAAAGCGGTCGTTGGCTGCTCCTGGCAATTTGCGGTTTCCTTTTAGTACAATCTCAAAAAAATGTCTGTTAGGGTTGCTTTTAGATACCCTGCTTTACGGACACCTCATTATTACGGACAGTTTTCTTTGTCCCTGGGGAAAGAAAGCCCCTAGCTTTAATTTCCCTAAATTCAACACGCTTAATACGAATCGAACATCTCGTTAGTATGGCTGGTCTATCTGTGCCCCCTTCAGTGTCCGTATTAACGGGGTTTGACTAAACAAATGTGACAGTGCCTGTTATGTTTACAACTATAATTACTGCTGGCGTTTTCTTCATCTGTTTCATTATGTTACAGTACCTGTTTATGTTAACCATTATATTAATTACTGCCGGCATTTCTTCATCTGTTTCATTACACATAGAGTTGATACTAATCGTTATTTGTGACGGAGTAAACAGTGCGGTCATTCAGTGGTTGGACTGGTCTGTAGTTGTCGCACATGAGAGGAGGATTTCTACCATGTTCACCCTTAAGTTTCCTGAACTTGTTAAGCTGAAACACAAAAAAAAAATATGTCAAGTAAGGAAACTTACGACCCATCATCTGGTTTAAGGTATTTCGATAGAGTTTTTTGGGAGACCATACCGATGTTTTTCAATCACCTTAAAAGTGATTTTATCCTTGTCTGATCGCTACAAAATTTTCACCAGTGATTGGCTATGAATTAAAGTTTGTCGAAATACAGTTTTTAGTAAAATCGATATCACTATGACAACAATAAACAAAAAACTTTCAAATCGATAAATTCCAAATTTTGCGCGATCTAGACCTGCTTCGCAAAATCCGACACCAAAAACTTAAAGTGTGGTTTTTAGCAAATAACCTCCGTGAGAAGTAAAAAATTCGGTGTGTTTGAATTCAAATTAAACGAAAATAAATTTTAAACCTTATATTTTCAATAGCCGTGATAAAATGTTTAATAAAAAAGTTCTAAAGAACTCACATTAGTCTTGAGTAGCGCCAGAAGGCTGCTTATATCTTTTGCGATGCTAGGAAATTTTGGTGTATTTTCTTTCTTGCGATCCTGAAACCTGACCTGTTTTCTCACCACCGAAGTGCAACTACATTCTAAATTTTGACTTCAAGCACTTTTCTGTATTATCTCTAAAACGGCTCGACAGAATTCGTTTTAAACCTCATTACATAATCTTCATGATGTATATAACAATGTCTGAAACTTTCATTAAGATGGATTCACTGCAACACCTTGAAATTTTAAGAGAATCCTAGCATACGAACCGGCACATGGGTCCTCTACCAGGGAGTGCGGGTATTAAATGCGATAGCCCAATCCTATCGCGTACTCTCCCTTTTAAATGCCGTGTAAGTCAGACTTTATCAACTACCATCCAGCTGGGGGAAAACTCAGTCCTTCCTGTTTACGCCATTGAGGTTACAGTGGACTGTTAAAAGTCCCCTATTTTTTCGTAAGATCGCCAGGATTATAGCATGGTCAGCAAGTACCGCAACTAGAAGCCATCTTGATTTCACTGCGGGCGTCTGGGTTTATATAGATTTGACACTCATTCCCAGGCTAGACGCCAAATATTAGAAACCAAGATGGCTGCCCATAAAGCAAAGTGCTCGATCTCTTCGATCTCACCGAAAAATAGGGGACCTTGAACAGTCTGGGTTGTATCGCCTGGGAATTGCCCGTGTGGCAGCCTGCTTAGGAGACGTAATTTAACCTCGGCTAATAGGGTCCGCAAAGCAGCGCCGATTTCCTTGTTCTGGGCCCCCAACGGACTCAACGAATTACTGGAAGTGCGTTTCCAATTTCCTTTCATGCTGATCGGAATACTGGCAATGGCTTTTTCGACAGGCCAATCATGGCACGTACTCAAATCCTGGTACACAAGTGGGGGCCCAGAACAAGGATTTCGGCCCTGTTTCGCAGACAGACTTAACCAGAGTTTAGTTTCGTCTGTGGCTCAGGCTAAACCTGTGGTCCCCCTCAAATTTTCGAGCTACCTCATTTAACTCTGCACTAAACGATGTCCTGAGGCTTAAGACTCTCGAAATGGCCACATCCGATCGCCAAGGCTCTCTCGTCCCGACCTTCTCTGATACCGCTAAAACGCGCTACGACGAGACAATTGCAACCCCATCCCGTTCCCAACGTAAGTCCGGCAGATCTCTTCCCATTTAATAAAACGAAGACCGGTCATGCTATTCTGACATCGACGGTCTTAACCAGATCTAGTCCCGTATCTTAGTTTACCTGTAGAGTGTCCACTCTTAATTGTAAAATAAAAGCTCTCTTTAGACCAAGTCAGTTATTTAAGTTAGTGCATGAGCATTACATACCTGCCTGGTAGAGGCCCGGAGATAATCTTTCACAACTATCCAGTGTACTGTTTCAAGGCAAGGAGGCGTAGTGAGGGAACCCTCGTAACTGTAGTAACATTCTAAAGTCAAACTTTTGGAGTCCTTTTTGTTATTATTATTGCCATTGCCATTACCACCATTACCATTGTCTCCATTACCATTACCATTACCATTACCATTACCATTGCCATAACCATTGCCATTACCGTTGCCATTACCATTACCATTGCCATTGCCATTGCCATTGCCATTGCCATTACCATTGCCATTACCATTACCATTACCATTACCATTACCATTGCCATTACCATTGCCATTGCCATTACCATTGCCATTGCCATTGCCATTGCCATTACCATTACCGTTACCATTACCATTACCATTACCATTACCATTACCATTACCATTACCATTACCATTACCATTGCCATTGCCATTGCCATTGCCATTACCATTACCATTGCCATTACCATTACCATTACCATTACCACCATTGCCATTACCATTGCCGTTACCGTTTGGACAATGTTGGGGAATCAGATCCATAAGATAAATTCCATCCTTCTTGTCCACAGTATGAGTATTATCTGTAAAATAAGGTGACATTGAATTGTTTCCTTAAGCGTTCAAACAGCTGAGCCGAGCATCTTTCATCTAGTGAAAGATCTGACCCAGGAGCGCTCTGGCGGATACATGATCGACGTCAACTGGAGTAATTTTGGTTTCGCGCAAGGAATCATGGGAAAGGCGGAGAGGAAAATGCCCAACCTCCCCAGGGGTCTTTTGAGCCAACACTTTACGTTCCCATGGTAAACACTTGAGTCACATGGGAACGAGGCAGAGATCTGACGTGTTCTCAAGTTTTGCTTAAAAGTTCTTTTGGGAAATTTGAGCTCTTCAAAGTAACCCAAAAAGTAGCTCAATAATTTTCATTTGTTATTTCACTTTTTGTACTTAATAATTATTTTTATTGTCCTTTTTTGGTCATTCTTTAACGTCGTAAAATGAAAATAACGAAAATTGTGCCTAAAATTAAAATTATATCGTGTAAGTAACGGAGGCAACGACATTTTCCCTTACTGAGCTGTGACATCAGCATTAAACTCTTTAAATTCCAAGATTAACCAACATCATCTTTCTACTACTAATATCAATGCACAAACAACAGGAAAGGTCATGAGAATCACTGAACGAAAAATTAGATTTACATATCCATGTATTTGCTCGCGACAAATAAAAATAAAGCGCAAAAAAGTGCAAACTAGGAGTAAGTCAAAGGCAAAGATCTGGTAAATCCCGCATTTGCATCCAAGTTTACATAGCTTGTAAATTCAAGGGCAAATGCCGTATTTATCATCTTTTCCCTTGATTTAACTGTAGTTTACATTTTTTCGCACCCTTTTGGAACTGAGTAAATTTGGTGCAAATCGAATTTTTGGGGGTCAGTGAATTTAAAAAAATGATTGCCAAACAGAAAGTGAGAATGCGTTGATCTTTTATCAAATCTCTCGACCTATTCTTTAAGGAAATGCATGGAGATTGGTCTGGAGAATTTTTACGTGGATATTGGAGCTTAAAGGATAAATGATTGCTGATAAACTTTGCAAGTGTGGGAAGAAGGGGGCGGACGTTGCTGATTGCCCACAAACAGAGAATAAAAGCGAGAAGGGGACAGTGAGGATTTGTTCACATGTTCTTCGTGTTTGAACTTTTTATAAGTATTCTAATATACCTACCAACGTCGAGGATGTATTTCATCAGGTTTGCTAACTTTCCAAAAATTTTATTTCCTTTGGAGGGTGCCTGTAAATAATTCAATACATCGAACTTCTTGTGATTTGCAACATTTTGTTTATCGCCCTCCTACTTCTACACTTCCTAGATGCATCCAAGGAAGCTAAAGTATTATTCGCTATTGCCAATTTTTGTCTTTTAAACAATTAAATATCCTTTTTTTTCCCGAGATCAATTTTTATCGGCAGGTATATTTGGTGAAAAAACCTACAGCTGAAAAAAAGTCTCCGTAGCTGCTACATTTCCTTGTTGTTGTTGTTGTTTTTGGTTTGTTTGTTTGTTTTTTTAATTTCAAAGGACACAATAAAGGTATTTTTGTATAAATTGAAAAACCGCAATTTTAATTTTCAACGATGAAGTATTGGGCGTCATTTTTTCTGGAGGGTCATATAAGCCACATTTTCTTCTAAAAAAAATTTGGCTTCTTGAATCAATTTTTCTTTTGACGCTGAATTATTCGACTAAATAAAGGCGAAACTGCATTAGATTTGTTCCCATTTATTTGTTATTGCTGGGGATTAAGGAAAAGTAACCAGAGAAGTAGACAGGGTGTACCTTAATCCAAAGGGCTACGACTGCAAGCTCTTCTCCAGGACCATCAAATACCATATGAAGCTGGGGAAAAGAGCAAAAGCTCACAGTTATTTACGTTGAGTTTATTCCAGTAAAGGCACGCGTATATCACGTGTGTGTAGAGACTACGAGGAATTCCATTCAAACTATATTTAACTGACCTCTGGAAGGTCGTGCTCCACACATACTTTCGCATCCCAGCATGTCACCCATTGCGAAAATAATGTCTTGCAAACAAAAACTACCGTGGCTCATCTGGCCAATCACATTGCAGATGTAGACATGCTAACTGGCCAATCAGAAGTGGAAGCAAAAGCACGTGTTGGGAGCCAGGCAAGAGAAAACCTTTCTGTTTAAATCACAAGACAACTGGTTTTTGCATCTCGTCTAGATAAGTTTGTGCCGCCCGAGAGGGTATATATGGTTCTTGGGATTCTCGAATCTTAAAAAGGGTATCATTTTTGGCTTTTTTGGCATTGTGTTCCTCGAGTGATCCTTAGGTAGTGTACCTAAATTGTGTCAGTTAAAATTCTAGTGCGTAACTGCCCAGCACGAGAAATATAATAAATCGTCTCCGTCGCGTTAAAACTGAACGATCCCTGAGAGTATTGTGAAAGCGATTTAATATATATATATAGGTTCGTGTGTTGTTTTCAAATTCTTTGGTTTTGTTTTCCCCTTGCATTCATTACCCATTCATTACCGTTTTTGGGTTTCAGCCTTCAATAGCGTATAAACGTTTGTTTGTCGTATCCTTAAGTAGGGTAAGGGTTTAAGACCTTGGGCGGCACACCTATCCAAAATTTATGGGAGTGGTAGCCGGAAGAAATTATGATAAAAATACGCTTTTAATCACCATTTTTTAGCAATTAGCTTGTGTGTAACATTTGTTTTAAGGAGATGGAACGCCCAATTGAGAGACTGAATCCTAAGGAAATGCCTGTCTTCGAAATATTCTTCGTCATTTTCGTTTTTGATTATCAGTATAATTGCAGCAGAAAAGTGGAGCTAATGACTTCGCTCAGCTCCTTGAAAAGATAGGCTATCCAGCGGATTTGTGCCCCTCACAGATTTTCCAGGGTATAGCTACAAAAAACCTGAAATTTTACCGCCACTAGAGGTATACAAAGAAAGGTTTCAAGTGGTTTGTGTCATATACTTACCTGACCAGAAAATCTTTTTCCATCAAGGGTGTGCTCAGATCCGCGATCATTTGCACAGCCAAAATGAACATGAAACTGGAGCAATTCGAAAGTTTTATCTCCCAGGGGACCCCCAGTTAGTGAAGCTCCATTGGAATCAGCAATTGTAAGTTTTGGTGAATGTCCAGTATTTTCAAGCTTTCCAGTCACCAGCCCCCTTGCGTTGTCGAAAGTGATTTTTAGAGGACTGTAACTCTCCTTCACGGTCTCACTTTTAACGATGTCAATTGGAGATTGGTGTGAATGACCACAGTCGTCAAATTTATCTTTCCAGTCTGCTGGGCCTGGCACTGTAATTAGGAAACAAATTAGGAAAAAGGCTTTTAAACGGATTGTGTCATAGCAATTGAGTCCATTCTGTTTGCCAAAAAAATCTTTTCTCACTATGAAACATAAATTTAGCAATGACATCATAAGCCAAATTCGTCGCTTTATGATGACGATCAGAAATGTCTCCCTGCGCGAGCATTAACACTGAAACTCACAAACAAAAATAGTCAGCTTTAAACAATGTTGGGCAAAACAGTTTTCAAATATCGTCCCAATTGCAATCCGTTTTAATCGTCTTCAATTTTATCCGCCCATCCGTCCCTTTTTACGTTTTTGAAGTGGTAGTAAAATGTTCCGTCCACCCGTCGTACGTCTATTCAAGTGTTCCTTTGGTTATTCGTGTTAGCGGGGGTGGGAGTTGCGATCAGTTATGACAAGATTGGATAAGTTCATGATTCCTGTTCCTTTTCTCACAACAAGGTTTTCGATGGATTGCTAGTGAAGTACTCTCGCTTATCATTATAGAAGCTGGCAACTCAATTAAGAAATAAGACCTGGAAGAATATAAAATCAGCCCTCTCTTTTGGTGAAAGCGCATGTAAGCAAGTCACGGTCTCGTTTCTTCTCACTAACTGAGAATCGATGGCGCGAGACTTTCAATTTCAACCAAAGGCAAATAAAAATAACGAATTCCCATAACCATCATTGATTTCATATAATTTCTTTCTAGAACTTGCAATAAGTCAGGGGCACCCAACGACCGTTTTCGGGAAATGATCTGAAATGGCTCGTTATGCATCCTGGAGTGCTTTAAAAGCAATATAAATGATTAATTCGCATCGCTAAAAAAATTTGATCTGTTCGGTCGTCCTAGGAGTGGTTTGAACCTCTCGAATTTTTTAGGGCTGTTTTTCGCCTTTCCCGAAAATAACAGCCTACAGCGAAAGCTTTCCGAAAACGTAAGATTACCTGACGAGCTTTTCCCTTGACCGAAATTTTTAGGGGTCCTTTCAAGTTTTCTCCGAAAACTTTATCTAGTGTGAGAATGTCTCCGAATTTTCTAGGGCGACGTAGAATGTATAGAAAATTCTAGGAGTAAAAGAAAAGGCATTTAAGTGATTTTAAAGCCAGTTGAACCATCTTGTACCCCGCCGAACTCAATTCGCACGGCACTTGCGGAAAAATCTGAAATACGGCATGGCACTGACTGATCACAACGCACATTGAACGCAGTCAGCAAAGGCAACTACCCTCAGAAAAGGGTCGTTGGGTTTTAAATCAGTTGTGTGAAATTTTCGCTAATGAGACTGCCGGGTTTAAAAATTTTGCTCTATTCTTAGTTTACGAAAGCTACGAAATTTCTAGGTAACGAAATCAGAATCTAGAGATTACTACGAAAGCTACGAAATTTCTAGGTGATCTAGAGATTACTACAAAATTCGAAATTCTTAGGTGAACAAACCACACAAATCCCGAAACTCTGAGCCCAACGAACAGTCACCAAGAAACATTTTCGAAATTTTAGCTGTTCTTGGGCTCCCGAAAATTTTAGCCGTTCTAGAGGGCTCCGAACAGATATTTCCCCGAAAACGGTCGTTGGGTGCCCCTGATAAGTTCAGACTGAAGAAAATTGTGATGGTTTCTCAAAATCTTATCTAATTAAGGGCCATAAACAAATTACGTTTTGCGTAAGACCAAGACGAGTAGTTGATATCTTGCTTTCTTATTTTATTAATAGTTCATGTATAATATTACTAATTGTCTCTTATATGAGAAGGACTTTGGGTTTCTCTCTAGTACTGTGAAGGACATTAACTGAAGTGATTAATCATCATTGTTGCTTTATACCAACCATCATTTTTGGTGTCTGCATAGCCCCATTCTTCGTGTGTAGCTGAAAAAGGTATAAAAATATCATTAAAACATGAAAGTAGGAGAATTGAATTAGTAATCACCAATTAGGATGGTACTTTAAATCGCCCACTACTGGTGCTACGATATCCGCCCTGCATCTTATATTAATAAGTATTTCAAACTAATTAGTTATATATTGATTAACTATTTATATCTTTAAAGTAGTATTGATATTTAGTATTATATTTTTAGGGCAAAAAAATATTGCCAGTCTGCCGGACACTTTCTTAATACTTCTAGAAACAATATAATTAATTGCAGCAAATGTCAGGTACAAATGATTTAATTGTTGCAAGTTGTTTTTGTTTTTGTTATTGTTGTTGTCTTGTATCTTCTAAATTAATCAGTTAATTAGATACTCACTCGCGCTGAAGACGACACCGAAGGTAGTGAACAACAGGAAAAACTTCATCTGTCGTAACTGATACATTCAATTATCATAAACTGTTCTGAAATTTGATTATAAAAAAAAAAAAACAGAAAACAGCATAACTAACTGAGGTAACAATACAATGTTGGCATAAAAGAGGTTAAGTAGTATCTTAGTATACAAGCGAAATTGAAACAGGTCAAAGTCGATACAATTTTTTAATACAGTGGAACACCGTTAATGAAAATACTGTTTGACCATAAAATCCTGGTGAACCAGAAAAAGATCGTTATAAAAAAAGATCGATATAACGTTGTGGACGGTTAAGGCGCTGTGTGCGACTATTTTTAACGTCTATTTTCATGTTGAATGCGTTTGGAAAACGTTGTTGGCTGCGATGTTCTGTCAGATCTATTGAGTTGAAACTTTTGAAAACATTCAAATGGTTTAAACTTCGGCCCAAAATCGTTGTCTAATTTCGACCATCCTATCGGATTCTTTTGGAAGGGGCTTTAATTTTGATAACAAAATGTTCCTTTTGGTCCGCATTTGATGACCTCTGGGCGCTGAATCTATAGTTCGTTACTAAGGCAGATGCTAAGAACCCTTTCAAAAAAAAAACTCAACATATTTTGTTGTATTGGTTAAATGGTTTGACGATGTTCATCATAAAGGTAAACCGCAAAATTCTTGAACGACACAATTTGTCGTTGCTCTTACAAATGTAAAAATGAAAAGATGCCAAGTCTCACAAACGCAAAGCCAGCCTGATTACATGTATGTACGTCGATCTCTTAGTATACTGCTTTGATTTTATGATTTTAGATCGCGTTTGTCTCGAATAAATTGTGAAAATGTTCAGGTTGATTGTTTAAGAGCTGAGTATCCAACGATTTCAATTTAAGAGTCATCTAATTCTAGTTTGAGCCTGATAATGAAGGAAAAGCGGGATAGTTCTAAGGGAAAAGATGTTTGGTAGTAAAAACGATTGTCCTTGATCTTTCATTCCAAGGTTGTAAAAAGTCATTAACTTGCTGAGAATTCCAAACAAGTTGTCTGTTGTCTTGAATGCAATAGTTTTTTCAGCTGATCTGAAGACAAGAAATCTTGAACTGATAGATCTATGTGCTAGAAGAGATATAATCAACATGGGCGATGTTTGATTTTTGATCTTCGTTTCCAGTGCAGTCTTCATGGCGACTGAAGTGATGTCAGGAAATGAGAGAAATTGACCCTTGATTCCGAGTAGTAATGTTCAAAGTGTAAAATTCATGAAAAACTTCTAATTTTACTTTGATTTTTTTCAGTCCTAGAGGATTCATAAAAGTGGCCATGAAAATGTTTCACAAAAAGGTGCGGTTTTAGTTGAATGGTAATGTCAAAGGATTTTTTACGCTGACTCAGTGCAAAAGTTGGAATAATGGCGTGAGATTTTATAATAACTAAGTCTGAAAGTGACAATGCGCTAACTTAGCATCAAAGAAAGTAAGCACATACCAAAAGCTGCTATGCGAACGTAAACTTCGTAGACTTGTCGCACCCAGTGGCTTGAGCCTCTTTTCTGTGTCTAAGATACTTACTTAAAGACTGATCAGGCTATCGGACAAACACTGGAATAAATAGGTCTCCTCTGATTGACAAATAAGTAAACACTTAAGAACAGAATCCTGACGATGTATATCAACTTTCAACCTTGGCTTAAAATATCCTAATTAGGATGGAGAGAGGCAATCATCGAAATATAGTCCACAAGGAGCAGGAGGGTGTTGACGATGAAGGGGTATAGGGGTGTAGGAAGAGCCCCCTGAAAATGATTACATATATGTTAGTAAACTACATACAAAAGAAAACATTTGGCCTCCCTTATGTCGTAACAAACTTGTATAGAAGTCCTTCATAAAAGGCTCTCCTGGCCACCAAGTCAACGTACTCTCGTTCCTTCGAATAACCTGTCTTTATTGCATGTTCAAAAAAAAAAATGAGCTGGCCCGTTTTCTGCACCACAAAAGTGGTCCCCCGTTGGTCATTATTTATAACCACATGAAGAAAAAGCTAGAATATAGCTAGTCAGGCAATATGAGCCAAGTTGCATGACGTTAGCAAAGGTTTTTGTTATGAATTTTTCAACCCTGGGAAATCGTCACGAATACAGCTGATACAGCCAAAAGTGGATAATATTATTGTGAGGAATAATATTTGTTGCTAACGTTTATAAGCAAAACAAAAAAATGTCGGTCCCTGTAGCTAGGTACAAGTTTGTTAGCGATACGAGAAGCCAGATTTACGCTAAGTCAATAATAGTTGCTTACTATAAGTCCTGATATCTAGCACCATTAAAGGGAATCAAATCAAATACCATTAATTGTATTACAAAATTCAAGGAAGTTTGGGCGACAAGGAGTGAGAGTCCTGGAGAGTACGGGCGGGGGGGGGGGGGGTTGCAGGTTTTATATTCTTTGGTTCTTTTTCTCAGCTGGAGACCGAGGAGTTCTCTAGATAGCCAAAAAAGTATTTCTATGCATTTAACCGCTGATGCGGCTTACACTTGATTGAAATGTTATCAGTAGTGTTCCCTTGAGTTTCAAAATCATGCGTGGCTTCAATGGTTTGAAATTTGCCTGTATTTTGATAAGAAGTGGCTCAAAAATACTTTTATTTACGATTTCTATTAATTTTGTTCACACCTATAGGAGATGATTTATCTCGTACAGTTCCATGTCCATTCTTTTTTACATCAGCTAGTGCG